GTAAGATATTTATTGTTATGAATTGTTTATTTTTTATTAACCAGCATTTATTTAACTCCAAAATAAGAATAACAATCTAAAAATGAATATTCAAAAATTGAACAGTTTTTAAGAAAGTGTCTAACATATGAATTATACACAACAAAATACCACTTTGGTCTTACTTTAATATCCTAGAGATTTTGATAGTATTGGAATACAGATTTTAAAAAATGTTACATATAATGTACTGTCGCCTAATAACGCCCTCTGTTTTAGTAACTTACCGTTGGAGTGCTAAAAAACTAACTGGCATATATTTTAATAACAGTCGCACACTGACAGATCTTTAAAGACGGTATAACACAATTTGAAGCAATGTCATATGTTTTTTTATCACTTTAGCGGTCAATAATAGTGGGCGTTATTAGGCGACAGTATCTTACGTAAGCAAAAGCTCAAGACGACTTAAAAACTGATTTGCCTGTATTATAAAGGTCGAATTATGAATAAAGCTATATTATAACATAATCTCACCATTTACATACGTTTGTGTACGCGTGCGTCGGGTATGCGACGGTAATTTTCGTAGCTTTAAATCACGAGTGTTGACATAAGGCTTAGTTAGTTTGGGGGATCTTCATGGGTCTTTACGTATAACGTGACTATACAGTAGAATTATAATTAGCTACGTAACTATATAATGAGAATTAAATTAGTGATATAGAAAATTAACCTTCACTTTTGCCTATGTTTTGTAACTAGAAATTATGTTTTCATATATCTCATAGAATATGTTTATAGGTTTACGCTTTATGGTGATCGATTCATAAATATCGAAGGGTCCAGATGAAATTTCTTTATGTATTGTGGTCAAAAATTATGTTGACCAGAATCAATTTAAAATTAGAGATATTGGTTTAGACGCCCTCTTAAATTATATCAAGAAGCCTTTCTCTCATTCTGTCCACCCGCAAGTGGTCGTATTATAGTGCCCAAGGGCGTTCAACATTCACCGCATAATTCCCTATTCATGAATAAATTAAATTACGATCACAAATTTCCGACTCAAAACATAATTTTACCATAACCGATAAGTTGCGTTGAATAATTCATATGTTATTTTTTATTGTCAAAAAACAACATTTTACATGTTAACGACGCAGTTTAATAAGATAATACTTAGAGAGGATTATGTAGGTGTCGGGAACAAACGTCGGTCCGGGGCTAATCCGTGTGTTAATCGCAAACAGGCCATTAAAAAAACTCGTTTGGTCCCGCGCGGCCGCAGCTCTCCTATTAGCATTTATATTGTCGCTTCGTTCGTAGGGCACTCGCGCGCATTAAGTGGCAATTATATTTAGCCCATGCCGCGTGGTGACCGCCACAGCTGCGTAGGTTCACGGTTTTATATATTTACTAGACGGGGCTAATATAATGAATACGACTCGCGCGGGGAGGGACAGCATAAATATAATTCCTGCTTTACACCTTTACAAAGTGTTTCTCTTTTTAGGGAATATACTATTAAATGCAAAATGGTATTCAAAAGAAGGCAATGTACGTATCTTTTATAAACATTTGTTATTTTTTCGTAAATGTGCACCTACCATAGTTGCGGTTCAGTCACATTTGATTGCGAGAGTTTAAGATAAGATGTAAATGAGTTTTTCACTATAAGGAATCAATCGTCATTTTTATTACGGTTATGGTGTGGAAGAGCAACCTTAGAAATATATACCTTCGTCCGTCATTTGATGGTTACAATATATGATATAAGAACAATATGCCTTACTTAATCGGACGCTAACACTGAAGAACGAACGTTTTATTTGACCATTTTTGCATTCACAATGCTATATTAAAAAAAAAATATAGCTGTAGTTGTCTGATGAAAACCGAGAGGAAGAACACGACAAGAAGAATTAGGAAATATAAGTTATCTACTTCCCTTTAGGATAGATATGAGATTTTTAGATACAAACATGCACACAGCGTTTGTTATAACCCTCATTTTAATTGCATATATAAATGAAAAACTTTTCTTAAGATATGAAAGGTTTTTCATTTCCAATTTATCGATATTAAGTTGCCTTCTTAAATTTCAATTGTGTAATTTTTGTTGTGTAATTTGCAAGTTTATAGGAATATTGAAAAAAAAAAATCTGACGACTGAGCAATGAGGAACTATTTAAAAAAAATAAAGAGAGCACTAAAAAGCACCTCACTAGATGGCGACTCTAGTAAAAGTTGATTTTTGCAGGAAATGAATGGACGAAAGATAGTCATTTCCTTTCCTTTTAACTAACAAATTAAAAAACTGAAATTTGCAAAGTTCGAAATTTAGATATCAATACAAATAAAAAAAGTACAAATAGAATATGAGTTGTTTAGTGAGTTTTGAAAATGAATTTACTTTTATACTTGAAAGAAAACCGGAAGGGTTTTCATGGAGAAATCAAGAACGTACCGTAGTGACATCTAGTTTGATTTCGGGAACTAATTTTTCTTTTTTAAATACTTCCTCCTTGGTAAGGTATCAGCTTTGAAATAGAGAATGATGTCTTGACTGTTTTTTGGGTAGTATGTTCATTGTGTTTTTTGTGCAAAGAAAATCTTAGGCATTATTTTATTTCAAGTGTTAATTCAGAATTAACTGTAATTATATGCTCTTTCAATGTTCACTCCGGGGCTCGGTCCGACTGTGTCCGAATTAAGCAAATTTGTGTTATGCAAAGATGAAACGATTCGGACATTCAAAAGACAGTCCGTGCCTAATTAGTAGCTAATGGAGCTACATGAAGTACATTAGTACGACGAAAACCATAAAAAGTCGGATAATTTTTCTCCGAAGGAGATTCTGAAACGGTTCAATCAACAATCGACCTTAAATGGTAAGGGAAGGAAGTGATTTTTGTGAAACGGACGCCGTATCTCTAGAGGGGAACAATTTCTTTCAATAATTCGCCGGTAATGGCCTAAGTAAGCCAGTTAACAAGACACTTTTAGAGGGCCGGCTCAAAAAATAACAATTTTAACTTCATTGAATTATTCACGGTGTTACGGGTGCGGGCCACGTTCCTATTTACGCACGAGGATTGTCTGATGCGTTCCGTTTCGCCTCATTTAGAAGTAATGTGAGCTTAGATGAATCCAGTACGTGGCTATTGATACTTTTGATGGGTTTGGATTGAAATGTAAGGGGATGAGCTCATGTTAATGTTGTGAGAATGTAGCAAAAATATTAATATTTTATTTAAACATATCGAACAGCCGTTTTGGTTAGCGAGAATATTATTTTACTGGAAAGGAAAGGTTATGTTTTTCGTACGTATCTTGTATGTAATATTCTTTATTAAAACATATCTTCAGAACCACTGAACTGATTTAGATAGTTGAGGTATCGTTAGATTTGTCTTAGTAACCCAAGTGTTCTTAGATAGGCAACGTTAAAAAAAATCAGATATAGCGGCTACGCGACACTATTATATTTTATGTTTTTTTTGTTTCAAATACTATAATATCGGTATCAAATCAAAAGGCTTAAATACAAGGATTCCTAAAATGTATATCATGATTATCATTACCGTTATAATAATAAAAATAATACAATGATTAAGTTTAAAAATGTGGACTTCGTTCTCTCACTTTCTGAACATACCTTGTTGGTAACTTGTCTAACTAAAAAGTCATAAAAAATAAAATAAAAATAAAAAAATAACCGCCTGCGTGATAAAAAACTAACAGAAAAGGCCGGAACAAGATAAAAAAAAATATGTAGAGCCATACATAACACGCAGTCTGAGGCATGAAATTGAATAATTAGTCCAATCATTCTCTCAATGTGTATGCTTCCGATATAGTACATCTTTTATGAAACCGAGATGGTATTTGGTGACCGTCTGACCAGTAGATCTATGCAATGACTCGATTTGATTTCCATCAGATTAAAACAGATTCACTCAATGTTCAGTTCAATTGGAACAATTGCGTACGATTGTGAGTAGATATCGACTTTTTGAACTAATAATACACCGCAGCACCGGCAGTTTGAGTGTATCGAACGTATAGTGCATTTGATTCAAGTCGATGCTTGGTTTAAACTTTCACGTATTAATATAATGTAGAGTAAATAAATAATTGTGAGGTATATCAACATGTGAAACAAATACATCAATGAGAAACATTACATTCACTACACATTTGTTATTTTTAAAGAATCAATAAACTATAGTCAACAAAAGCAAAACTTTAATAATATGCAAACTTTAGGGTCGAATTCGAACAAATGGCTTTCACAAGTATATATTAATGTTTCAGTAAATCACAAACATGATAGACAACTAAAACAGTTGATTGCATAAAATTGCCAATGCAATTTGCCAATTATTTAAAGTCGATTGTCGTGATCACGTTTGGATTATTTAACACGACATTGATTATAAATTTCAAGGCACCTACAGATATTATTCGGTACTAGCTCCTTAACAAACATACCGTTTGAATAGTGAACATGAAAGTTGTAATATATTGTTTTTGTGTAACTCTAGCGCTTTGTAATATTAATGCAAATTTCATAAATATAGCCGTGGATTATTTTCTTCAAAAGGATATAAAATATGTCTGTTATTTAACATGTGGAAATGTATATGGTGAGACATTTATATGAATATTATATTAAATAGAAGAATCACTTGTTTTATGGAAATCTGATACAAAGGTATCATAATACCCAGATACGAGATAATATAAAGATCTTTTGCCATCTTGTGCTTGTCGGAGATAGGGCCACAATAGGTAGGTTATAAATGCTGCAAATTATATTTTGTAGGTACTAATTAGGAAGTATACCCAATCTTCATATTCTCATGTTAAATGAAGTTACATAAATCGGTGGCTATTTGTTTTTTTTTTTAATTTTACTACTTATTATTTTCTCGAGAATTAATGAGTATACAATATTTCTTGTATTTATAATAAATTAACCTTCAAAAATAAAACTAAATATTGCAGATAGCAAAATGGTGTTACAAAAATTTATAGAGAAAAATGTAAGAGTGTCAGCGATGAAGATCGGTGAATATCCTGGTCTCTCGGAGCGGTTTGTGCATCAGTGGAACGTTCCAGTTGGACTCATGATGGATGCGTCATGTAACGCTTCAAAGAATATTCTAGAGGAGGTATTAATCATTAAATAAAATTTAAGAACAACATACGTTTTTCATTAATTAACACTTACGCTGCAAGATAATGAAGACAAATGTGAAATCGTAATGATTATGAAATTGATGATAGTATTTTATTAAAAGACATTATAGCTTAGTTACATATTTTGTAGGCATCCCGACAAACATTTTTTGGGTCCAACCACGCATGGCTCATACTAATCGATGCCAATTCTACTATAGAAGAGTATTTTGAAAACCTTGAACTGAGTATCGATGCAAACATTGTAGTTGTACAAAATAATGGTAAGCATCATAATTTTCGACAAAAGCAATGGTTTAAAGAAGACGAACCATTATTTAATAACGTTTGCAGTATATATGAAAGTCTATAGATATTTTATAGCCGAACAATAAAAAAATACATTATATTGCCATCTAGTGATAGTCAGTAACAATAATCTTAACGTAGAATGTGCAACATAACAGCTTAGGATAGTACTGTTCGCAAATCCAACAGTGGTTGTGATAAATTTTCGCGAGTCCCGGCCCGTTTTATACGGACGCAGCGAAGCAAATTATGAGTGTTGCTGGAGCGAGTTCAGATATAATTGCGCAAGTTTACACGGCACTTTTTAACTTTCATATTATGTTTCCAGGAGACAGCTATCAACTTATAGACGTGTTCAACTATGGAAAAGTACAGGGGAATTCTTTGGAAGTCAAATTAATAGGAGTGTGGAATGATACGGGTATGTGATTATAAGGTGTACCATATTAGTTCTACTTCTCAATTTTTTTAATGTAGAGTATAATATAATCGCTAGTAATATTTATATTCAACAACAACTGGACATATGTGTTTAAATATTATTGTTGTTTAAAAATATTTAAAAATTTAATTCATATTCAAAAACAAATACGTACTTTTTCCAGTACTTATGTACCTCTCACACCAAAACTCTTCGTTCCTCCTCTAATCGTCTACTTCTCTGTCAATTCGAAATTGTTAACTCATCGTTCTTCGTCAAATCTATTATTTTGTGGAATGAACTTCCATTAGATGTAAGAATGATCAATAGAGGATTAGTTTTTAACAATAAACTTGCGTAACTTTCTGTTGGAACGAGCAAGTTTTATTTAAATCATTAGTCGTTTTTTCTTTATATGTGTTTTATAATAATATATGTATGTAAGTATATTCTTTTGTACCTATTTGTGTAATTTATGGGTAGTATTAATTTATGTATTATCTATGTTTATTGTTAATGTAAGTAAGGTTGCCGTGCAGAAAATACATATGGCTTTAAGTCCGCCATTGCACATCTGGGCGAGAAAAAAAATCAAGATTTTGAGAAATCCATTATTGAGTGAAAACTTTAGTTTCTGGTTGTAGGTTTGGATATACCGAAGGATTTCAAGTATTATACGCGTTGGAACTTTAACAACTTGACATTGCGTGCCATATCCGTGGTAAGAATAGATCCTTATACGAGTATATCTATCTATAACTTCACTTCAGATACCTTTCATCCTTAACATTAATAGCGAATTTCGTACACGCTGACCTTTTATGATTTCGATGTCACTTGCCGATGATAGTACGCGATTAATTTGATCGTTAAAGGTATGCGTTGGCATCTCCACTCCGTTTTCGTGTTGTATACAAGTTCTGACACTTTTTCATATGATATTTCATTCGTATAAAAAGAATTTTTTACACGTTTGAACCAACGGAGCACGATGCCTTTTACTTTTATGCTGACACAATACCTTCATATTTATTCTATCCTATGTTTCTTAAATTAGGTTCAAGATCTATTCACTCCATTATATATGTATACTTTTATAAAACAAGTGTTCATCGTCTTTTTATAGGTACTTGAACGTGATAACCGAATAAATAGATACTTGAATTTACAAGAATATTATGATGATTCTCACGTAAAAATATAACATTTTTCTTTGAAGTCGGTTAAAAATTCTGCTCGATTACTTCAATTGCAAGAGCATTCACCCATTTAGCGAATCGCTGATCATAGTCTATTCTTTGCAATCATCTAATGCAGAATTAAATCAAATGATAAGATATTATTTGTGAAGTTGAGTAAAAAAATTCCTACACTTTCTATAAAAATAGATTTAATTTAAATCCATATAGGTATAACCAAGGAATTGAAGTTACTGAAATGAAATTAATAAAATGAAACCAAAATAACTTTATTCAAGTAAGCTTGTTTCAAGTACTTTTGAATCGTGCAAAAAAAAAATTCCCCTACCACTCGTTCAGGACGTCTTTTAGCTGACAAGAAGAACAAGCGAAAGAAACTTACCAGCTCTTTATCATAAGTAATGACATTTACACAAATCATGTCATAACCATAATAGTACGTATTATAACAATAATAAATACAACTTTGCTAAGTTTATCTTATAAAAAAACCTTCCAGATATTACAAAAGCCAAAGTCGTTTCATCCGGACATGTTGACGGATACGGCGTATACTCCGGGAGTCGCCGTCTTTACAAAGGTGGCGGCGCAGCTTCTCAACGTACTGATGCAACAACACAATTTCAGGTGACGGCAGTACCTACTTATTGTTAAATAAGACTATTGTTCTTAGATTCAGATTGCACTACAATTAAACGTAGATCGATGGGTAATAACCTAATGGGTGATGATTGATATGAACTTCAGCTTTTTTATGTAGCTGACCAATGGTCAACATACATAAATAGCTGAAGTTCATATCAATGTAGTTCTATTACTCTTGGTTCATAAAAATTACAATATAACATCTTTAAAGCATCTTAATTATTGCTTGTAGATGGACAAATGAAGTCAAAGCATTATTTATTCGAATAAAAATTATTGAAAGAAATCTTGAATCGATCCATATTTTTATCCATTCAAGATTTTTTATTCTTAACAAAAAATATGTAGGTCTAGTAAAAGTTCTCATTTTTTCGTTATTTTTTCTATTTTCTTGATTCTATAATAATAGACGACGTTGTTTTGTTACATAAAGGAGCGAGATGCCGAGTAGGCTTTGCACACTTGTCGTATTTAAAAAATGTTTGGTTGCAGGTTAAAGTACACCGTAGCGGGGCGCTGGATCGGCGCGCCCGAACGTAATTCCACTCTGGTAAATATGAATTCATCGGTGAAGCGGCGTGTGCCACTCGCTCGCATATTTGACTTAAATCACGGCTTTGTTATATAACAAGTGATTTTTAGTACCAAAAAGATATGAAACAGGTCAAAAATGATCACATGTCTGTGTCATCATCGCATCTGTTTTCCTGCGAAACTATTTTAATGCATGTCCATGTGATCATCGTTAACTACTAACTATAAAAACTATTGAACTAATTGAGTTGTGTTACATATAAGCAATATATATTATATACGTTACACAATTCAATTAGTAGGACATGTAAGGATATAATGAAGCAGCCCAATTTTGTATATTAAAAAAAAAATTGCAAATTATACGAAATCTATCCAATTAAAGTTCTTATTGTAAAATTATGAGGAATCGCTCAAACAAATATATTATTTTATAATTTTTACAGTTATTTACGAAAACAAAGGAAAATAGGATATCCTCCCTATTTAACTATTTAAATAGTAAGTTTAAAATTATAGAAAAGCACTTGTATTAGTTTCAAATTTGGTTACTCAGTTAAAGTTACATATTTCAACTAAAGTTGTGTTATAATTATATGGTTCTCGTTAATTGAAGAAAGACTTTCAAACATATTTCATTTTAGCAGGTGGTATTCTTGAATGCGCAATTTGCAAATAAATGTTGTATTTATTCACAGTAACAAAACACTTTTCGTTGTACAGGCTGTTACGAATTCCCTATTCTGGCGGGAACAAGACATCTCCTGCACATGCGCCAGGATATATCCTAAGTGGATGGAGTGGGTGGATATTTTCTTCCCACCTGCAACTAAAATTGAGTAAATGAGCAAATTCTAATGTTGATTTTTAATAATGATACAACACAAATCAAGATAACTGACTTCTGGACTATGATAGACAGCAAATCAAAAGTGAATAATCTTTAATTGCTATGAATAAAGTTGTTTGTAGTATATATGTATAGTATGAAGGAGGAGGTATGGAGCTAACGTTATAAATATTTGATAAAATAATAATAAGAAAATCAAAATATTGCAGAAACGGAATATAATATATATATCTATTATGCTGTGACAGTGTTGAGCTCATTGTTGCTATTTGAGCTCATTGTTGATTGTCGCACAGAACAGCATAGCATAAAGCATAGAGAAGGTGATACTTTAAAATTAGCACGTCAGTTATAGTTGCTAGCAGATCAATCCGAGTCAAAGAAGGTAACAAAATGACATTAGGACTCTGAGATCCGCAGTGTATGAATGCACGTACATTATATTATATTTTTATACAGGAAAAACAATTATAAAATAAGTCAACGTGAATAGCACTGTAATTTCTATATAACTAACTAGGGGCCGCCGGCGACTTCGTCCGCGTTTTCCATTATTTCTTCGCTCCTAATAGTTGCAGCGTGATGTTATATAGCCCAAAGCCTTCCTCGATAAATGGTCTATTCAACACAAAAATAACTTTTCAATTCGAACCAGTAGTTTCTGAGATTAGCGCGTTCAAACAAACAAAAAAAACAAACTTCAGCTTTATAATATTAGTATAGATTTTAAAATCACGGATTTTTAGAATTTTTTAATCTAAAAATGCTTAGTTGTAAATTATGATTCGCAGAACAAAATTCTACTACCTGATACCGGACAAAGGTGTAGGTGATTACGAGAACCGGTTCCTCACTCCACTGTCTCCCGGCGTGTGGTGGTGCGCGTGCCTGGTGCTGGTGGCGTGCGGCGCGCTGCTGGCCGCCGCCGCGCGCCTCGAGGGCCGCCCCCAGCCCGGCCTCTACGCCCTGTGCAGTGTGCTGGCCGCGGTGTGTCAGCAAGGTGACACTCGCACCTTTACTACTACTAAATACTATTCTTATCCGAAGACAATTACATTTTTAACTAAGGGAAACTAAGGTCACGAAAATTTATATCCACGTTAAATACTGCGTAAAGATGGCACTTGTTGCGGAAATTTCAAATATATTATAACAAAAAATAAATTATATGTGCAATAAAGTATAAATATCGATAATATTGAGATAAAAGGTACTGAATTTATTCCATAAAATACGAAAATATTGACCTCGCCAACCACTGAATCAAAAATTTGGAACAGAAAAGAATTCATGAATCTTCCATCTCCGTCTCCGGACTTAAAACAGTCAAGTCGTGTGTAGTTAAAGAAACTTATTTTTTTTCACAAAACTGTTAGAAGATTGCTGTGCAGTAGGAATTTATCAAATATCTTCAAAATAATTAAAAAATCACTGTCACGGTCACGGCTCCCATAACGCATATTTGTAAATATCGGCAGGTGTTTTCCCTCAATTTTTCAAAACAGCTCAAATTAAACCCATTCCTATGGACGGTTGAAAGGCTGTATTAATAACTACAGGCCAATCTTTATCCTGGGAGGACCCTACGTTATCAAAAAATTTGGAACGAATAATCAATTAGTTAAATTTTTAGAATCTAATTGTCTGCTTTCAACTTCTCAGTTAAGTTTTAGTTCAGGTAAATCAATATCTGATGCGGTTTCAAAACTTACAAACCTAATAATAACTAATCTTGATGTTAAAAAGAAATGTCTGACAATCTTTTTAGACCTGGTCAAGTAAAAGTAGAAAATATCGAATTGAGAGGATCTCGCAGAAATTGTTGAAGGACTTCTTCAGTGACAAAAAAACTCGTTAAGATTGACTAACAACAAAGTGAAGAGCAATCTGTCACTTATGGCTTGCCACAGGGCAGTAAAATGGTTCAATCCTATTCCTCATCTACATTAACAGCTTATGTAGTACGTATGCAATCACATTCTGGTCACACCAGCTTCGCCGTGACCAACTTCCTAGCCAAGGACGGGATTTCAACGCCTCCCCAGCCGCCCTACAGTCCCGACCTGCCCCCTCCTGACTTCCTTCTATTCCCGAAACTGAAAAACGGCCTCAAAGGACACCGACATGGGACCTAGGATACCGTCAAAGCGGCTACGACGCAAGGATTAAAGGCGATTCCGGAGATCGACTTCAAAGCAGCCTTCGAGTCGTAGAAAAGCCGCTGGCAGAACTGTGTGGATGCCGAAGGAGAGTACTTCGAAGAATTTTAAGGATTTGAACGGCTAAGTTCAATAAATAATTTTTCCCAAGACATTTTTTTACTTATATACAGACCCTGTATCGAATACTGGTATGTTTAGTTTAAATTATTAAAAAAAAATATTTTGTCTTTTTTTTATAGCTTACGAAGATGGAGTCCAAATGCTAGAAGAATATTCTAGCCAAGGTGAGTTCTGTTTAACTTTTACCGCTGCCATATTTTACTTGTAAAAGTCATGACTAAAGTGAAATCCTATTCAAATTCGGTTCGGTTTCTGTTCGGATTCGGTTTTTGTTCAATGAGCTTGGATATTATACTATAATTAATTGTTTATAAACCGATTTCGTTGAAAAATATTTGAACGATTTTACGACCAACAAATTTGTGATATAAAATGAGAATAAAGTAATTTCTATAATATGATTTTATTTTAAATCTAATTATTGTAAGAAAATCTTACAATAATTAACATGTAACGATTGGCTATACATGTCTTAAATATAATTCATTTGCACTTCTTCCTACTAAAATAAATCTAACAAATTAGAGACAAACTTCTCATTGCTCATTGCGTATTGGAAATCTTTATTGTTAAATTTTTGAACGAATAATCTTGTGAAGCCCTACCTTTTTATGTACAGGTCGTCGCACCACAGTGCTAGTCGTGGGCGTGACGAGTATGCTCCTGTACAACTACTACACCAGCAGTGTCGTGTCTTGGCTCCTCAACGCTGCAGTCCCGAGCATCGACTCCATACCAGGACTGATTGCTAGTGACTTGGAACTGATCTTCGAAAACATTGGATACGCGAAACAGTGGCTTGATGTAATTAAGTAAAATATAAAATTTGTTTTTCTCATTTGGGTTTGCTTGCATTGATTATAAATATTTAAATAAATTATATATAATGTATATTTTTGAAAAGTACCTAATATCTATAGACTTATAAAAACTGGCGAAAATGTATAAAAAGAGTCCCAAAACGAAATATGTGTGTAAGTCTTGTCGGTCACAATTCTTTTTACTAAACGAGTGCCATGGTCTGAATATATACATATATAGATAGATAGCAATTTTGTCTGGTGGTATCTATGTAATTCCCATTATAGATTCTATTCAGAGTTTGCTGGATGATAAACAAAATGAACAAATAAACTCAGTTGAAAGATATTTGATATAGTAATCATGCTGATGGTCAGTTTGAATAAAACAACATAAAACAGCTAAGATTTTCTTATCGAGCTTTGTTGTTTGTTGAATTAGCATGACATCACATTTTTAATTGTAACTTATTACTTATGTAATAAAAACATTTTTTAATATGTGCACTGAAATTAATATTCGTATAAGAATATTATAACATATTATAAGAGTAAGAATTTACTGAACAGAATCCAGGATTTTATTATTTCGCTGGCTACAAGAATGCGGAAGAGGATGACCTAAGGGATAAGAAAGTGACTAAGACTAGACGCACTACTGCGATCCTGCAACCAGCTGAGGCTGGAATAGAGCTCATCAGACATGGAGGTATGGTTTGATTTCTTAACAGTATGTACGTTACACTTATTATTGTGAGATATTTCACTTAAAATGGTGAAAAATAATACTAATCTCAAAAGCGACTCATTCAAGAGAATGCAATTTAAATGAGGTTTTCTATGGGTTATTAATTTAATGATAGACGCTCGACTTTAATAGTATTTTCTTGAAAAAGTCGATATTGAGATAAATATTATTTTTCTCTTTTTCAATTGAGTGATATTGATATTTTTTAATATCGGTAATAAGTAACACCAAAATTACTTTTCTGAAAACCGCATCAAAATCGGTTCAACCAAACGCGAGATAATCGATGACAATACATACAAAACGTGTAAAAGTGTGAACCTCTATTTTTTAGTCCGTTAAAAAGTGTCAAGTTTGAAAGAAAAATAAATTAACAACGGAGGTGAAATATGTTGCCTCAACACAAACCAAAAGCGAAAGTAACTAGTGATATGCTCGTCAGGTCTTCCGTAGCTCAGTGAAAGAGTACTCGCCTGTTCATTTAAAATATCACTGGTTTTAGTCTTGCACGGTACCTGAGACACGTGGCTGAAAAAGTGGATAGTAAACAATATGTTTGTGTGGCAGCGTACGCGTATCACACGGAGCCGTACACCGCGCGACAGGTGATCGCGCGCACATTCGAGGACCGCGAGTTGTGCGCGCTGGGCTCGTTGCAGATGATGGCACCCTCACAACTCTACATCATGGGCCAGAAGCGCAGTCCTTATAGACAGTTCTTTGTGTGGAGGTATGTTATATCGAAAGAATTGTTATATATCAGTGTTGTAATGCAAAATATATCTAACAAGCCCTGATTACCAGATAGCGTATATAAATGAAGTAATTGACATCGAGGAAGCAAAAGACGTATACAATGGCCAGAGTTTACTCTTATCTGCTTACCGCGCAAGAAGTCCGGTCTGCATTCAGAAACACATGGGCTTATGGATATATTTGAAATAACATTGAATTCGAATAAATGAATCTATGTTTAATCATTAAACGATGTACTCAATGATTGGGTCCCCACGGTATTTCGTCGAGGACAAGGCAGGGATTGATTACGTAAGAGCGACAAAGGGATAAATTTCAACTGATTAAAGTTGAACTCACCATTTTAGCTCATAACGATATTATTTGATCAATTTTGCATTCACAATGTTATACTGGAAAATATTCTTAATGAAAAATGTTATATAAAATGTTATATAAGGTACTTACTCTGCGATAATTCAAAAGTAAATCGATACTTATCCAGGAGTGGCATAATTAAATGAATTTTAGCAAATTTTATGACATAGCAATATTGCTATATTGTTTTATTTTTGTCGTAATATTTTTAATAATTTTAAAAATATTTAGTAGCAATTAAAGATGAACGCAGTCCAATTATCATGTCCTATTTTTATTAGGTAGTTCTCTGTTGTTTTGTATGGAGTTAAGTCATCCATCTCTATCGATTTATAATGTGATTCCGATTTATAATTTGGTCGGTAGCATGATGCGTTTGCTGGAGCGCGGTCACGTGAAGGCGTCACATGAGCGCGTGTCTGGGCCGATGCCCGCGTGCTCGGGGCAGGTGCCGCGCGCGCTCGCACTCGGACAGGCGGCGCCGGCGTTCGCTCTACTGGCACAGACTGCATTGTTGGCACTACTCATTCTACTCTTGGAGATTCTTTACTACAGGTAAATCACACAATTACACTCTTATGTAAAATACATTGTCAAAAATTAGTAATTATAAAATTTTGTGTAGTTTCTTGTGTCCATTCTTCACAAAAGATAAAAAAATCTTGAAAAAAAAAAAACTATCTTATTGAAGCTACCAATTTGAAAACAGATAATGAAAACTGAACTACTCGTATTAGAAGTAACTTAAGTAAGTCACGTTTGACAAATGAAAAGTATTGTTGCTGCAGCGAGTGATAGCCACCATTAACTCGTGTGCTATGTATTTGTACCTAAGATGATTAATCTAAGAACCTATCTGGGTGACATGTTTGCGCACCCAGTACCACACTTACTTTGCAATGGTATACATAGATAGCATGGCAAAGTAACTAGGTGCGCATAATGCTTATATTGATAGATTGATGGTATGACAGTGAAAATCATCTTAATATTTTATTTAAAACACGTTAACTATGTGATGTGCATTAAATAATTCATCTGACTTCGCGATAACTTACGAATTTAATGTATGATTGATCGATACTCAATACATATGTAAAGCGTTGAGATTTTCCTTAAGTTGTTTTACCTATGTTGCTATACGGCTTCTTTGGGTTATGATAGAAACAATATACGTTAAGTAAGTAGTAAAACTACACCGAGTAGATTGAATGTTTACCATTTACTTGTATGTTATACTATTTTCTCTTATTCCTATTTAGTTTTATTAAAATGAAAGATTTCTTCGTATTATATTTTGACAACCCCTGTTTCTATTGCAGGTATGTGGTAAGAAATCTTTGATTCTAAACGGTGCAAAAAGTCAATCGCATAATAAACGGCACATAACGCACAAGCACTTCCCGAGGAGGGCATAATTCAGGACATAAAAAAACAATAAAGGGATGTTTGACGGGAGCCCTCCGTGAGCGATGGCGCGACGCCTCGTCGCGGGTACGCTGTCCACGCATTACGGATCACTTAGGACACAGTGTTGTTCATAATATTCTGAAAAAACTGTTATATGTCACATACTTTTTACAATTTGCATGCTTATATATATATGAAATGCATTGAAGTAGGTAATCTTTTTAAGTGTTGTTCTGTATTTTCTTTTTATTTTTGACACTGATAAATTCTTATATACAATAACTTTATGATTTTGATTTTATTATATGAAATTGAATGAGGTGGGGGGGACGCCAAGAATAATTTAAATTGCATAGTTATGAATATCGATATAAAATACATTTTTTTTTTCTTCTTAAATCAATGCCGCTTACAAATATTCATCTTATGGAGATCTGTGAAATTAATATAATGTTAGGTTATTTTATGGATTATGTATAAGAGAGACGTTTACCGTTTACGATTAACTAATTATCTTAGTAAAAGATCGTTTTAGAATAAATTAAATTAATTATAAGATACGTTCAAGAAAACTGAATAACAGTTCTTATATGAAACTTTGAATGGTTACTTAAAACGGATCCTCTTCAAGAAACGTCCTATTTATTCTTAACATCATGGTTCCCTTTGATGGCCGATCAAATCGCGCCCTTATAAATGACGCAATCAATCCTCGTTTACCGTAGCCCGCACTACCAGGGCCTGCCTCCAATTGAAATTAAATTTAATTGGGGCTACTCTGTGCCCATTTTGTTTCGATGATGTATGAAATGGTTACTTTTTCATAATATTAAGTAGGTGGTGTTGAATATCAGGAGTATTATCTGTTCTAAAAGAGTTTTATTAAAATGTTGTGTTTAAAAGTTCTTTGACTTTTTATGAAAGTTTCATTCCAAAGTGATGAAAAAACAATATGTGTAATATAGTCACAATTCACGACATCTAATTAAAACCATTAGTTTTAATTAGATGTCGTGAATTGTGACTAGTTTCTTGTAGAATTAAGAATTATTATTTAATTATGAACTATTCGTCAGGTATAATATATATATATATATATATATTTCTAATAACTATTGCATTTATAATGCTTTATTTATTATATCTATCTTTTAGAAAAATACTTTAAATTCCACTGCCACAGGTGCTCTTTCTAATATTGGTAATAAATTATTTTTAAGTATTTTTATATACGTTATCTTTAATCTTATAAAACAAATTTTTGCTTCAATTTAAATTAATTAATTTACGCCTACGTGACTCCGGAGGAGGGGGATCCTTTCGGTTCAGAATGTCTAATTCCCAATATATCCAAAGATTCAAGATGTCCAAGATGTACCCGAAATGTCCTATCTATTATCAACTATATTCTGAACTGAAAGGCCGTCGACGCCGTACGCGGCCACTTGGGCTACCTATGGAACTCTCGACGCGATCGTTTACTTACATGTAAGTATATTCTTCGAATACACTTTGCTTTAAATTTATACGTCTATTTTATTGTAAAAGTACCAAACACTAGTAATATTCAGAGATAAAACACAAAGTATACCGTCAACGGAATGGCACAGATATTATTTAAAGACGTATTCATTTCACCGCTGGTTGTGTCGCGACGTCGCGCGTCACTGCATTTGCATACAGATGGAAAGTGTCACATGGATATTATATTACTTAGTAGACGAGCAAAAAAAGCTGTAACACGACAACCTTATCGTGAAGCTGTAGAGTTCAAAATCTGGAAAGTTATTTGGAAATGAGCCATGTGACATTGTTATTTATCGCTACTTCAGCCTGTCCAGGATTAATCTTTTGATAATGTAAATATTTTAAGTATTATAATTACATTGCCTTAAGGGTAAACTAATAAGTAGGTACTAATGTAAAGTAGGCATTTTTATAATTTTTCGTTTGAATAGGTTGAAATTGAAAGTTTACGACGATATATTTGTAAATCACGAACTGACGAAATTGGTGTGGTCCGCATGTCGGTTGCAGCAGCACTGCTGAAATTTAGGGTCAGGGCTGCGATTCTGTAAAAATTATAACCCGAAAACGAATTGACTCAGGTGTTTACGTCATTTAATGTAAAAATTCTGATTACATTTTTTGTATAAAATATAAAACAAAATTGAGTAATTATACGTGTCTCAAACATTCTATTCTGATGTCATTTTGAAACTCACTTCACTTATGCTACGAAATTGTACTATCGATTCAAGATTGAGAAGATGCTGCTTTTTGAGGTTAATTCGGACAGCTGAGTGAATTCGAATTCGGTATGGATTTTTACAGAACAGCAGGACAGATTACCGGTCGAGTCGTGTGTGTCTTTACTGTGAATGTCTTAGTAGAGAGAGATAAATAGTGGACCGCGATCTCTCTCTTTCCGATTACAGATTGGGCAGCA